GGCACCAAGCCCCAGCGCCGCTGCTCGGAGTCGCCTTTGCACCTGGCGTCCACCGAGAAGCGCGCTTTGCTCGAGGCCGCCGCCACGCGAGAGCCAAAACCCCGGCTCTGACTCTGCGGGTCCCGCGCGGTGCCGCAGAACCACAGGAAAGAAACGAAGAATAAAGCCAGGCGTTGGTCCGCACAGCTCTCACCAGCTCGACGAGCAAAGCCCGACCCCAGACTGGAGACTTCGATGCTGACTCCCTGTTATTGGCAGAGCTCAGGTTAATCTGTTCAAAACAATCGTTGGGATTCAAGGATCATATGACAGAGAATTTCAGTGGATCCGTCTCTTCTGCGCCCCGCTGTGAGTCCTCTCACTTCCCCCACCCCGGAACCTCTGGCCTGCACTCCCGTACTTACATGCATGCATGAATGTCTTTAAACTAAATAAAGAAATATTTAAAGAGTTAAGAAATTCAGTATTAGAGATATTAAAAGAATTATAACTATTTTCTGGGAACTTCTTTAATGGCAAATGGTCACAAATCTAGCTAGAAAGACTTTGTATGTTATTAACTGAAAAGTATCAGCCCATCAATGTTCTCTTATTACTAGTGAAGAAGCCCACAAAAGCTACGTGTTGCACCACGCAACTATTTGCTTTTGGTGATTTTCATTAAAATCACCTGCTATCAGGGCCCTCCCTGGGGGCGCAGCGGGTTAAAGCGCAGCACTATGAAGCTCTCCCAAGCCACTGCAGCACGAGTTCCATCCCCGGCCCCGGAGCTGACCCACAGGATGCTCCTGACCGGCCCTCTGCTCCCCTTGGCAGTGGTTTTCAGTGGATCCGCCTGTTCTGCTCCCCACTCTGTCTCTGGGGAGTCCGCTCACCCACCACACCGCTGACCTGTACCCCAGTTCTGTAAACATAAATAAACATATCTTTAACATCATCTGCTATCACTGTGTTAACTCCGAGTGCTTTGGCCAGCGCACGCTCTTCTTGACAGACACCTGTGTTCATTCCTGCTGTGGTCTAAACGGCAATTCCTCATTCCGTCACCCTGTGAGTGTCTGTCATTCTTGTGCTCATCCCACACTTTTCAGTTCCCTATGGCTGTACGTTTACCTGATTTTTCAAAAGCAGCTGAGAAAGGATTCTGCTTCTGTTTCATTCTAGAATTCTATCAACAGACTTGAAACAGATGTATTCTTCACTGCAGGTCTGCAGGAGTTAAGATTCTTGATTTTGAGAGAACATGAAAGAAAGTATGTGGCCTGAAGGCTCACGCCACCTGACCGTGGGGTTTGGAGGTGACTGATTAGCAAGGGACCAGAATCCGGATAGAGTTTGCTATTCAGAAGCAACTTTGCTATCTTCTGAGTGAACTCATTGCCCAGATTTGTGTACCGATTGTCTAAGCTTGGCTTTTACGTCATGGAAGCAATTACATCTTTGTCAAAGAAGATTGTAGGAGACAAATACTTTCAGAAGCGTAAAGTAAATGGCTGGACAGTAGTTTTTTCTATAACTGTAAAGAAAAATAAATTCTTCCCTATCAGCTTTGTGTATCACTACACAAGTTTAGGTACTTCTTAAACAGAAGGAAGCTAAGAAATTAAATAAAGGAATACATTAAAAAAAGAAAAATATTGTGAAGCCTAATCCCCCAGCAAGTACACTAATGTCCATTTCAAATCCCTGAGAATTTTAATAAGCGTCAGGCACAAGCCGAAACTCCATACTTGCACTCTCACTGTGCATGATAATGCACCAGTGGAAGGTAAGCGGCTCACGATGAACAGGTGTCCCGAGAGTGAAGGTCCAGCTGTCACCGCTGTAGCACGAGGTCAATCTCCAGCCTGGGAGTGACCCCCAGGGCGCAGCAGACCTCTCCTGTGTCCCCGGGTCCCCTCGGCAGTGGATTTCAATGGATCCGCCTGTTCTGCCCCCACTGCGTCTCTGGGGAGTCCTTTCACCCCTTTCAGCTCTGGCCTGCACCCTTTATTCTACACAAAAATAAAGGAATAGATCGTAAAGAAAGAAAGAAAAAAAAAAGAACTGACGTCATTTGTGAATCATTTCACCTTCTGGATGCCCGCAGTTTCCGGAGTGGACCCACGCTGAGCTGCCTCGGAAATCTTAGCATGTAGAGGTGACCTTCAGCAGTTTACTTCAGGAGCTTCTGTGCGTGCTGTTTGCAGCGAGTGAATCTTCTCTTGCGGACTTGAAGTTTGCAGACAAGCACACCTCACTGCATTTCAGCGTCTGGTTCGGCTGGCACTGGCTCTTTTGCTTGGGTGTCCCGATGTGACTGAATGGATTTACTGATGGATGGTCAAGGCCAGGAATAGTTTTAGAAGTTATCTGGGGTCAAAAGTCACGAGCGGATGATGGTGGGTCTTCAGCTCCGTGCCAAGCGTGTTAACTTGTTCCAACCACTTAGAGAGAAATGCTTTCTGGCTTCTTTTGAAAAAAAAAAAAAAAGGGGGGGGGGCGCTGTCAAGCCTGGACTCCTGTGTAGTGGGCAGGTGAGAACGAGCGGCTGGACCCACCGGTCAGGGCACATCTTTATGTCTCCAGACTCTGGCCCCTGTACTGCCTCGGCCTGCAGCGTCTTCACAGATGGAGGTTTCTTACCCGGTCTCACGTGACATGAGTTTTGGACCTATTTCTAAATTGCCCTTGTTTGCAGATGATAAATATTCATCTGAGATTCAGAAACCATCAGCGCACACCTTTAGAGAGACCGAGTCTTACATTCAAAGGCTGATTTCTTTTTTCCAAATTTTGCCATCCGATTGCAAAAGCCCCAGCTGGACACCAGGTCTCAAGTGGTCTTTCCTCTGTTACTTAGAATTGACACCCAGGAAGCAGCTGATTCCTGCTTTATCTCTCAAGAATCAGTTTTGGTTTCTAAAGACACCCTACTGGGATGGGCGAGAACATTTCACACCATACATGGGACAAAGAGCTGATCCCCAATGGTCTACACAGGACTCATAAAAACAAAACAGATAACCTAATCAAAAAATTGGCAGACGAACTAAACAGACACTACTGCAAAGAAGTGCAAACAAGCACCTTCAGAAATGTTCATCAACACTTGTCTTCGGGGAAATGCAAATCAAAACTGCACCGAGGTGCCAGAAATAACAAGTGTTGGCGAGGGAGGGGGTGGCAGCCCTGGCTTGCCGGTGGGAAGGGGGCGGTCTGCCCTGTGGGACCGAGCAGTTTCAGAACATTAAACATGGGTCGGGCCTCCCTGGGGGCTCAGTGGCTTTGATTTGAGGGAGACTGTGGAACTATGCTAAGAGTCAGACGAAGACAAGGGCTGACTTGACCTGGGGGCTGATTACAGAACTGAGGAGCGGAGGTGGGGGCCGGGAAGGAGCGCACTGACCCGTGCGGTGGGCAAGGCTGGTATGTGATGGTGCGATGCCTGTTGGGGTCTCCAAATGGAACCGTGACTGGAAATAAAAATATTGCAGATAATAAAAATGCATTGTAAAAAATCAATGCCCATTTTTAAAGTGCTCACACAAGAATGGTCAACAAACGGCTGTAACCAAATGGAGCTGTCCATCTGGGGATGCTGCCCACTGGCTTACGGCGGCTGGTGGTGCTGCATGTCTTCTCATCAGAAAGAAGATGGCACCCATTTAAATGCTTTGATTGTTAGGGTTGGGGATGAATTCACTCTGATGGGATTAATACAGCTTTGAGCAAATATCAATTAAGCTGACAAGGTTTGTTCTACCAAACGAAGGAAGAGGCTTCATCAAGCTCCATCCTCTTTCTTTCATGACAAGGGGCTAGTTTCAGTGTTTGTTACCGTTTGGACTCATGCGCGGGTTGTGACTTAGAAACCAACAACACACCTTGAGAAAGACTGAGTCTTGAAGGCACAAAGGGAAAAAAAAAATCAGTTTTGG